AAAAAGTATGTATAAATCAATAAAAATAAACAAACAACTCAATGTCATGAAATGGAGAAAGAACATGGAAAGGAGGAATTTTCAAAAGGGAAGCTCAGGTGGCCAGTGAACATGAACAACGCTTACTAACCTTTTGGGAGACACAAATTAAAACAAGATCACCTTTCCCCCTACAGATTGACCATTTAAAAGTTTTACAATACTCAGTACTGACGAGACTGAGCAAAAAAGGGTAGATTGCCAAAAGTAATCAGATAAATTGGACTCCTTTATCGTCAAGAAACAATTTGACTTCATATTTACCTTCAAATAAACATGTTCACATACCTCTCTAACAACCAGCAGACTTTTGAATTCTATGCTGTCCGGATAAGGATTAGAGCCTTGCCAAGAATTTGTTTTATTGGTGAGATAAGGCCCTGCCCTTATATTTTGTTTTTCTCTTAAGGGAGTTCCTGCCTTCTAATTGGCTACTTGTTAGGTATATTGGAGTTTAGACATCTAAGTGCAATGTAGCAACTTTGCTTTTTTTTTCTTCTTTTAATAACATGGAGAATGGGTACAAATATGGATCTCTTCCAGTCAGTTGGCCGGGTCGCTGTCTTCCAAATCTCTTGGCATAATCCAGTGAGTGCCTCCAGTGTGCGGCATCCATTTGTTAAAATATCTCAATGAGTATTCCATCAATTCCCAGAGCCTTGTTCTTCACCAATTCCTTCATTGCAGCTTCAACTTCTTCCTTCAGTACCATTGGTTCTAGATCATATGCCACCTACTGAAATGGATGAAGATCGACCAGTTCTTTCAAGATCTTACCTGAAAATAATTCAAAAACGGTTGCAGCAGTATATTGATAGAGGACTTCCAGAGGTGCAAGCTGGATTCAGAAGAGGACGTGTAACAAGGGATATCATAGCTGCTGTCAGATGGATCTTGGCTCACGGCAAAGAATACCAGAAAGATGTTTACTTGTGCTTTATTGACTATGCAAAGGCTTTTGATTGTGTGGATCATGACAAATTATGGGTAACATTGAGTAGAATGGGAATTCCCAAACACTTGATTGTACTCATGAGAAACCTGTACCTTGACCAGGAGGCTGTCGTTCGAATGGAACAAGGGGA